AGATTTTAAGGGTTTTGAGGATAGCAATTGTTTTCACATCACATTTTATTTCTTTCATAAGAATTACAATTTGTTATTTAATGGCCATTAAAATTCATCATAATAAAACTTTTATTAGTCCCTATTAGTGTTATTCATAGTGGGGTATCCTAGTTTAATTCTTTTTTTCCAGGATAAAAACTGCAATTATGTAGTGAAACTCCTCAGAGCAAGGAAACCCCTAGGATATGGGGACCTGCTGGACCTCTTTCAGGTGTGTGAAAGTACATCATTTGAACTCATAGTTATAAACTTTGGACATAAAATATATTTATTAAACACACAGTGTTATTCAATCAAAGGAGTTATGCCCATTAAGGGACTTAGGTAGAAAATAATCTTTTTTTAGCCCCCAAAAGCTATCTTTAAATTTTAATGGAAATTGAAATAGAGAATTTTGATTAAAAAGAGTTGACCTTTTCCTTTTTTCCTGGGCTGATAAAAAAATGGTTAAATCAAGTTAGATGTTCTTTAAATTGCTGGGCAGTGTTTTTTTCCATGTGATTTTCAGAGTTTATACCCATAAGGTTTTTATATAAAACTATGCTTAAATAGTATGTCATTAAAATTATTATATACAAAAGGAGAGCAGCTATTCTCTCATATAGAGGAGTAAGATTAATTTCTGCTTCTTACGTCAGCTATCCCTTTTAAAAGAAAAAAACCAGTAGCTTTTTCCCCCTTGATCATTACCTTACTGCACTGCGATCTGCATATGAGGAATATGTTTTTGTTTTTCACATTATGCTTCAAGAGACAGAATAGATCAATAGATTTATTTATTTTTTTGTTGATCATCTGTTCTGTATATTATAGAGACTTCCCTTTTGACCATTATATTGTCATATAAAGTGGGAGGGGGAAAAAAGTGGGAAGGAGACAGATATTTGATTACTTTGAGTTATATTAAAAGGAAGTTTTTAAAAATTATTTTTATTACTATCTTAAGTTTATCTCAGTTTGATAGATCTGGATAACTGTGACTGACATGGATACACCATTTCATTATAATTCACCTTATTCATTCGAAGATGCAGTTTTTTCACAGTTTAATATTCCCCAAATTGGTATGCATCATACAATTGATGGCATCTAAGAATTACTGTAGGCCAGGTGGTGTTATAGTTGTTTATTTTCAGTGCATATGTGAACGTATTTATAATTGTTCTTATTAGCACATCTGTTATGTGCATTGTTATCACATTAAGTTTAATTGCCTTGTAAAATGTCACCTTAGTTATTGTACACAAACTTTCTGTTAATGTCTTATGGTAAGTAAGCGCCAGCATCAAAACATGGGTGTTATTAAGATCTGACAATAGCGAAGTACTCCGAGGCATCTCCAATGCTCTTGATGTCCTAGACCCGTGGTCGGCAAACCGTGGCTCGCGAGCCACATGCGGCTCTTTGGCCCCTTCAGTGTAGCCATGAAGTTTCAGTTGCACTGTACGTGCACGCCCACATGTGGTATTTTGTAGAAGAGCCACACTCAAGGGGCTGCAGTTTGCCGAACGCTGGCCTAGACCAGTGGTCGGCAAACTGCGGCTCGGCAAACTGCGGCTTGCGAGGCACATGCGGCTCTTTGGCCCCTTCAGTGTGGCTCTTCCACAAATTACCGACTTCTGTGCATGGGCCATGAAATTTCAATTGCACTGTACATGCGTGCCTGCACGTGGTATTTTGTGGAAGAGCCACACTGAAGGGGCCAAAGAGCCGCATGTGGCTCGCGAGCCGCGGTTTGCCGACCACGGGCCTAGACGCTAGAGCAGTGATTCTCAACCTGTGGGTCGCATCCCCTTTGGGGGTCAAACAACCCTTTCACAGGGGTCGCCTAAGACCATCGGAAAACACATATATAATTACATATTGTTTTTGTGATTAATCACTATGCTTTAATTATGTTCAATTTGTAACAATGAAATTGGGGGTCACCACAACATGAGGAACTGTACTAAAGGGTCGTGGCATTAGGAAGGTTGAGAACCACTGCTCTAGAGGATGAAATTGTAAGGAAAAATTTAAGTGATTAGTTAGCACTGTATCATAGTTTATAATTGGCACTGATTTACACTCTTGAGAGATTATGGATATGTCTTAAAACCATTGTCATTAGCCATTCTATAAAAATACATTGTTTTTCCTTCTATGAAGACAGGATTCCTTTCCTACATTTATCTGAAGGCTTAAGGCAGACAACTTTAAAGTGCAGATCATTGGTTCTTCTTAGATACTTTTAACTCTTTTCCTTCTATTTGTATCAAGTCCTGTTTACTTTAAATAGGGGCAACATAATGTGGAAAAAATAGTGGAACCAGGAGTTAGAAGACATTTTCGAATTCTGGCTGTAGCACATACTTGTTGCTTGGGCCAAGTCATGCCATATAAACTCTATTTGATTATTGTGATACCAAATGAGAAACACATGCTAACATTCTAAAAATTACAAATGCAGCTTGTTACTATTGAAACTTATTTGCTTGAACAATCCTATCTAATAATAGACAAACATGGTAATTGACCGTACCTTTGCTACACCTCCCATTGGCTAATCAGCGAGATATGCAAATTAACCGCCAAACAAAGATGGCGGTTAATTTGCATACGTAGGCACGAAGCGGCAGAGCGAAGACTGAAGGCGGCTCTGCCTGGAGCAGTGAAGGCTTGAAGGCGGCGTGAAGGCTGAAGGCAGCCCCGGCCGGAGCGAAGGCCTGGGTCCCGGGTGCCGGAGGAAAACCGGTGCCGGCAGCCAGGGGAAGGGAAGGCCGTGCAACAGGCTTCTAGTATTTAATAATTAGAAATGTTCAGATGAGTTAGGGGTAGCCTCTTATATGGCAGGATATTTATTGCATGAGAGCTTTATTGTCATCTTTTAAGAATTCATATAAATGTTTTGAGACATTGTTATGGAAAATTTATGTCTCTGGATTTGAATCAAAATCTTTATGCACAAGAAAGCAAGGAAATAAGGCAAGGGAACCCTTTTGGAAACTGTTCTTTGCAAGTCATTTTTGCCATCTCTTAGCTGTTCTAACTCGCCAGTTTATTCTGGCATACGGAGGGGCTTTACAGATCATGGTGTAAGAAATTGTAGTCTTTATTTACCATACCATAAAGTGAGTTTTGGGAGCATAAAGGTAGAGATTTAAATAAAATTCATGTTAACATTGGTTTTATTCTTATAGTGGTTTTTCTGGATGACTTTCTCATAATTTCTTTGGCAAAACTTGTTAAAATTCAGATTGGTATGTCTTTATTATGTTTTAACCTCTAACATAATTGATGTGTATAGTACCTTTGAAAGCATATACCAAACACATAAGTTTAATATGTTCTTGATTCATAATTCCATGTTATTTATTCAAATTCCCGGAGAATGACAAACCTGTCTTATATTTGTGTAGCCATTCAATGTGTATTGATTTAATTTCATTTTATAAATTTAATTATATATAATTCAGTTTACACATATTCTAACCTTTTACATTTTTGCTGCCACTTTAAAACTTCTGAAAGAATTGGCTTGGTAGAAAGAGTTAAATTAAGATTTGGAATTATAGCATGTGCATCCAATTTAAAGTAATGTTTCATTAATAAGAGGAGTAATGTTACTGTTTTTAATGAGCTTATTTCTTAAAGAAAAATTAGGCTATGTAAATGCAAGGCACCTATAATAAGAAAAGTGTAATATGCTAATTAGACTGGACAGCCGAACAACCTTCTGGACGTCATTCTGGACATCTTTACAGACAAAGCCATGGCTGAGGCAGAGGCAGATAGGGGCGATCAGGCAGGCAGGTGAGCAGTTAGGGAGGATCAGGCAGGCAGGCAGAGGGGTTAGGGATGATCAGGCAGGCAGGCAGGCAAGCAGTTAGGGAGGAACAGGCAGTCAGGCAGAGTGGTTAGGGGCGATCAGGCAGGCAGGCAGAGTGGTTAGGGGTGATCAGGCAGGCAGGCAGAGTGATTAGGGGTGATCAGGCAGGCAGGTGAGTGGTTAGAGGCAATCAGGCAGGCAGGTGAGCAGTTAGGGGTGATCAAGCAGGCAGGCAAGCAGTTAGGGGCAATCAGACAGGCAGGCAGGCAGAGTGGTAGGGGTGATGAGGCAGGCAGGCGAGCGGTTATGGGTGATCAGGCAGACAGGTGAGCAGTTAGCAATCAGGTAGGCAGGTGAGCGGTTGGGGCAGTCAGATAGGCAGAGGTGGTTAGGGGTGATCAGGCAAGCAGACAGGGGTAGTTAGGGGCGATCAGGCAGGCAGGTGAGTGGTTAGGGAGGATCAGACAGGCATGCAGAGTGGTTAGGGGCAATCAGGCAGGCAGGCAGGCGAGTAGTTAAGGGTGATCAGGTAGGCAGGCATAGTGGCTAGGGGCGATCAGGCAGGCAGGCAGGTGAGTGGTTAGGAGCCAGTGGTTCCGGATTTTGAGAGGGATGTCTGACTCCCCCAAGGGGTCCTGGATTGTGAGATGGTGCAGGCCAGGCTGAGGAACTCCCCCCTCCCCGTGCATGAATTTTGTGCACTGGGCCTCTAGTATAATATAATTATAGAGAGTTTCTGAACATTCAGAAGTATGGTAGAATGATATATATACTATTTTAAATTACTTTTTCTGCTCTGTGATATGAATTTTTATTCATGTTTTCCCTTCTGCACTATTGAAGAAATGGTATGCTTCTCTGAGGCAGGATAAACTTCTGAGAAGTTGACCTTAAAGAGTATAGTACCATAAGAAGGACCAGCGATAGAGTGTCAGGAGAAAGGCATGGCAAAGCTATAGTTAAGGGATGTAGTTTAGATATGAATTTATAACATCTATTTGAAGTGTTTTAACTCTTATACTTGGTTTTTATTTTGGTGTTAATTTTACATAAAGTTTTTAAATCATCATTACTGGTTGTAATTATATAAAATGTATTGCTATTTATGAATTAGATTTAATAATTTATTTTATATGTGTTCTAAATAAAGCATTAAAAGAGAACAGCTCAGAGGTTGTTCAACCTTTTCTAATGGGTTGTGGAACCAAGGAACAGAAGATCACTCAGCTATGTTTGGCCGCCATTCAGAGACTCATGTCACATGAAGTTGTATCTGAGGTAATTTGAAGATTTTATCTGAACTATGCACCTAAGAATCAAAGCAGTTTTGACAAGGGGAGAATGAAACATACCTGATATTTAATGTAAAACAGTTTTATGACTACCAATGTGCTTGAAGGACATGGCTGAATTTTAAAAGATTAGCAAATTATTTCATTATTAAGTACTCATAAATAATAAAAATGTAAGTGCATTTTTCAAGTCATTTATAGTATAAGTAGTCCCAGAGAACTACACATATTTTCATATTACTGAAGAGAATATCCTGTATAATAAAATGCTAATATGCAAATTGTCCCTTGGGAGTTCGATTGACTGGGAGTTTGACCGCTCACTGTGACGTGCGGTGACCACCAGGGGGTGGTGTGGGATGAAGGAAGGCCCCGGCCTGCAGCTGCCAGCTGGGGGAAGGAAGGCCCTGATCAGCCCTGACCACCAGCCAGGCCTAGGGACCCTACCCATGAATGAATTTCATGCACTGGGCCTCTAGTAAGTCATAAAAAATTTTTTTAACACCTTTTGTACTGCTCACGAGTTTTCTCGTGTTTCGCGCGCCATCTGTTAAGTACCGCTTATGAGTTTTCTCGTTTTTCACACCCATGGAAAAAGGAGCGAATCTAGATACTTATGTAAATTTTGTTTGGTCCCTCTTCATAGAGGAAAATGTTTTACGCAGTACCATACGTTAAAAAAGTACTAGGAACTTTAATTGTTTAATTGTTTTTGTAAATAAAAATGTTATAATTATTGAAAAACGACAAACGACACCTAAAGTGCATTATGATGATTTAAATAACGTGCAGTTTGCCCGAAAACGTGCGGTCCCTGGCGTATGTCTTAGAGATTTCTATGCGGTACGAAAGGTGTTAAGGTAGGAAGGAAAATCATGACTGTTTCCTAAATTATCTGAAGTGAAATTTGTTGTTCATTAATTAAATGTCTGTATCTAATCTTATGATGGTAAAACAAGGAACAACATTTCATCATTATGAATCTACATCCTCATTTAAATATAATGCTATTAACCTTAACTTTGTACTATTTAAAGTATTTTAATAGAAGTGGTAAATTCTTTTGCCTTTAGTATAGCATTCAAACTGTCAGAATAAAAAAAAATTGAGATTATAAAGATGTTGTTAATTGAAGTTGAATTTTAATTTTTTCTATAACATACTATAGATAATACTAGAGGCCCAGTGCACAGATTCATGCACCAGTGGAGTCCCTCGGCCTGGCCTGCACCCTCTCGCAATCCAGGACCCCTCGGGGGATGTCGGACTGCTGGTTTTGGCCCGATCCCTGTAGGCCAGGCCGAGGGACCCCATCGGTGCAAGAATCCATGCACCAAGCCTCTAGTATGCATATAAGATCTTTGGTTAATCTCTTCCCACCCTCCCCCCTCCCCCCTTTCCTCTGAGGTTCATCAGTCTGTTCCATGTTTCCATGCCTGTGCGTTGAGCGTCTGCCCCCTGATGGTCAGTGCACGTCAGCTACCGGTCAAATGGTTGCTTAGGCTTTTATATATATAGATAAGAAACAGCAGACACGTAGGGAATTTGCGTATGTCCATATTCATCAATGTCCAAATGAAATATTATTGTAGACATAAGCTTTGATTTTGACTACGTATTTCAGAATTGCATGTTGTTAGTTGCAAATATTGAAATGGTGTACAGTGGGGCCTTGACTTACGAGTGTCCCTACTAATGAGTTTTTGAGATACCAGCTGTCTCTTGGCCGATATTTTGCATTGAGTTGATAGAGTAATTTGAGTTAACGAGCTCCTTAACGAGCTCCTTAACAAGCTCGGTCTCGGAATGAATTAAACTCGTAAGTCAAGGCCCCACTGTATTTTAAAGAAATTCATTTTTTAGAAGAAATTTAATTGGATGTAAGTTTCAAATTAGTTGAGAGACGTGTTTGGATCTATATAGCTAAAACACAGATTTTGTTATTGTGATCAAGAAATTTTCTCCAAGTGAGGTAATATTTGTGTACCTTTTTTATTTAGGGACTTAAGCACTTATATTTTATTGTTGACAATAATTAAAATGATTACTTTACAGACTGCAGCTGGAAATATAATTAACATGCTTTGGCAGCTAATGGAAAATAGTCTTGAAGAACTTAAGCTACTTCAAACAGTTCTTGTTCTTTTAACAACCAATACAGTAGTTCATGACGAGGCACTCTCTAAGGTAGGAAACCTGTTTTGACAAAATTCATAAGTGCTTGAGACAGTATTTGAATAAGCTGTTGAAAAGAGAAAAGCCTGATTTGAACCAAAGGTAACTTCCCTATAGATATTGTGATAATGGATATTGTAGGTTAAAAACCATTGGTGCCATATTTTCCTCAGAGTTAAATTGAAATCAGTTTAGGGTTATGAAGCAAATCCCTTTGGGTATAGCTGACAGAGTTAGTTATGAATAGGAAATGGAAAAAGAAAAGTAGCAGAGGAATACTAATAGAGGAAGAGGAAAGTAAGAGAAAAAAAAATGTATTTTGAGGTATCAGTGTTCTCCACAACTGCCTTGAGTATTCCTCTGATAGCTCTCCCTTATCCCCTTTTAAAAATAATTTCACCTGTATGTGATATGTAAGCCAGATAGTTTAAGCCTGTCCATTAAATAGCTTAAAAGGCGTCCTTTTGGCATTTAAATTAGATAAGGTTGCATGTACGATAAGTATTTTTCATTTCTTACAACTCCCACCCTCTTTGGAATATATAATAGTTACTCTATTATTTATTTCACTCTCCAAAAAGTTTCCTTTTAATTATGAAATATTAAAAGAAACTATGAAATATTTCTTCAGAACAGAGAGTAATATAAAGAACAGTCATTAATTAATGGCTTATTGTTTAAGAAATTTGTTGGACTTTTACTAATAGTTCTATTATAATTAGCATGCCTTTAAGGATGGACAGCTTATAAAGTAGAAAAGTATACTGTCTCTTGAGAGTATCTTTTCTAGTTACTTTTGATGTTCTTAGGTTATAATGAAATTTTACTTAATTGCAAATAGCTTATTCTTTTAATCTCATACCTGCTTTATAAAATATTTTATGTATTTTTATAAAGGGATCGGCAAAAGTAGGTTTATAGTTGTGAGAATGCAAAACACGGAGTTCATTCTTGTATTATCATTTATTAATTACTGTGTTATTGTCCACATGAACAACAACTATAAACCTACTTTTGCCCCATCTTGTATGTACTTTTGTTGTATGTAAGTCTTCTTGGTTTCTAGCTATCAAATTATTGTGTGTGTGTGTGTGTATATGTATATAAAATTTTTAAAATTTTATAAAAGATTATTATTTGACCTACCAAAACAATAAGAACTGATTATAGTTTTATAAATAAATATTAGATTAATTTTAATATGGTTACTTTGGGAATGTAATATTTTGTGATAAAAATGAAGTAAAAAAAATTCTATACATTTGAAATGTAAAGAGTAATAGTGGTATAAAGGCTTAATTATTTCCTTAAAACATTTAATATAATTAATATGATAATATATAGAATTTAAATGATCTTGTCTTCAAAAATGTTTCTTTTTTTGCTTGTCTGTCTAAATATGTTTTTTATTGATTTTAGAGAGAGAGGAAGGGGGGGAGAGAGAGAGAGAAACATTGATGAGAGAGAGAAACATTGGTTGCCTTCTGCATGCACCCCTAACTGGGACTGAACCCACAACCTGGGCATGTGTCCTGACCAGGAATTGAACTGGCAACCTTTCTGTGCATGGGATGATGCTCAACCAACTGAGCCACACCAACCAGGGCCAAAAATGTGTCTTTTAAAACTGAAACTTATAAAAGAACACATAGGAGAAAATCTACCATGGGTAGACAGACATTTCTTAGGTAGGGCAAAAAATCCATCAATCATAAAAAGAGCGACAGAATGGGGAAATATTTTAAAAATATCTGATAGGAGTTTTATCTAGAGTTTATGAAAAATTCTTATAACTCATTTGAAAGACAACCCCCCCAAATGGACAGATGATTTCAGCAGAAACTTCACAGTATAAGATATTCAAATGGCTATTGAGTACATGGAAATTGGCTCAGCCTCAACAGGTATCAGGGAAAAAGCAAATTAAAACCATAAGGATAGATATCATTACACATCCATTAGAATAGCTAAAGTTTAAAAAGACTGACCATATCAGGTGTTGAGGATGTGGAATAGTTCTGAACTCACATATACTGCTGAATGGAATAAGAAATTATAAAACTACTTTGGAAAACTAGCAGTTTCTTAAAAGGTTTAACCTATACTTACCATATGATCCAGCCATTTCACTTCTAGGTATTTATTTAACCAAAAAAAATATAAACATGTGTCCTCATATATGAATTTTCATAGCAGCTTTATTCACATAGCCCAAAACTGAAAACATCTCAAGTGTCCATCAGCAGGTGAATGGATAAATATGAATGGATAAACCCAGCCAGGCTAGTGTGGCTCAGTGGCTGAGCATCAGCCTATGAACCAGGAGCTTGCTGGTTCAATTCCAGGTCTGGGTTGTGGGCTCAAGCCCCATTGGGGTCGTGCAGGAGACAGCCAATCAGTGCTTCTCTCTCTCTCTCTATCCCCCTCTTTTTCTCTCTCTAAAAAATCAGTAGAAACATACTAAAAGAAAAAATAAAAAAGAATGGATAAACCCATGCCATGGAATGCTACTCAAGAATAAAAAAGTAAAGCTCTAGCCCATGTGGCTCAGTTGGTAGGAACGTTGTCTTGTACACTGAAAGGTTGCAGGGCATATACCACATACCTTGGTTACAGGTTCGATCCCCAGTAGTGGAGTTTGCGGAAGGCAACTGATTGATCTCTTCTCTCCCTTTCCCTTCCCCCTCTCCTTCTGCCTTTCTTCTGCTCACTAAAAATCAGTGAAAAATATCCTAGGGTGAGGATAAAAAAAAGAATAAAAAAAGTATAAACTATTGATACAAAAAACAACATGAATGAATATCACTTGAAGTATTACAAGTGAAAGAAACCAGACATAAATAAGTATATTTGTAAAAAATGCCAGCTGATCAGTACTTAAAAAAGCATATGGGTAGTTGCCTGGGGCCAAGGGCAGAGGGAAAAATGGATTGTAAAAGAGCACAAGGAAACTTTTAGGGTGATGGAAATTTCTTGTATCTTAATTGTGACAGTAGCTTCATGAGTGAATAAAGATTCAGAACTCATCAAATTTAAGTTTTAGAAGGGATACAGTTTTTTACATATAAATTACAATTTAATAAAGTTGATTTTAAAGGACTACTTTTAAAAATTATAATTTTATCTTTTTATATGATTAACAAGTTTATTTAACATTTCTACAGATGATTTAACAAACTTTGAGTACATGTTATTTGTAAAGCAAGTCATTCTGGGGTAATAAAACACAGCACCTTATTATGTACATGTTAAAAGAACCAAATTGTAAAAGATGTATTACACATAACCTTAAGCTAAGTTTATGTGACTATATATTTACTAAGAGGCTGAATTTTTTCAAAATATAAGGATTTCTGTAGATTTATTGTATGAAAGGGTAGAGCTTTTAGTATCTGTGATTGAGACAGCCAGACAAATTATTTAATTTTGGGTTACATCAGATAAAGTATAGTAGTCACGTTCTTCAGTCTTATTTCACACTAAATGAAAATTGTTTTTTTTTAGGCAATTGTTCTTTGTTTTCGACTACATTTCACAAAAGATAATATTACCAATAATACAGCTGCTGCTACAGTGCGACAAGTTGTTACTGTTGTTTTTGAGAGGATGGTTGCTGAAGATGAACGACACAGAGGTAAAGTGACAAAAGTTGTTTACTTTTGACAGTGGATGATTCTTATATCCATGATTTCTCATTTATTGATTTTCAGCCTTTTTCCTGTAAATGTAGGCTATCTAAAAACGAGAATACTTTAAAAAATATATTTATCTTAGCAATATTATTATATTGATAATAGAAATTCAAAAAATAAATCTCCCATAATTTTATCATCCTAGAAGTCAACTATTTTCATTTATATTTGTAATTATACTTTGTTGTTCTTCTATAATTTAATGAACTAGTCTCCCATTGTACACTTAACATTGTGTTCTAAATTTTGGTATTGTTTTGAGTGTCTTTATACATAAATTTTTTCCATTTGAATTATTTCTTTAGTGTCAGTTCCTAAGAGTGTGCTTCCCTCATGTGAATTTTTGCCCTTGCCTATTAATATGTGTTAAGGGATATTTATATAATGTAAAGATTAATCTTCCTCTATTTTTATCAAATATATTGTAATTTTTGACTTCTTTTTTTTAATTTAAAAAGTTTCCTAAAAACTTAAAAACATGTCTTTTCAGAGAGCTGGCAGATAATCTGTTTGTTTACAGTTTTATAATTTGATAACTTTTAACTATACAAATTATGTTTTTTTCCTCATTTATTATCCTTAGTAGATATAAAACAAATTTTTTTTCATGGTTAGCTGAAAAGATTATAAGGTGCTACCATCATGAGCAATCTTTTTGCTTTATATAGTCAGGAAGCAAAAGATTAAACTACTTTTTCCTTTATATAGTTTTTTTCTTAAACTTTTGATATCATGCAGTCTTTCATTTTATTTGATATTCTTTTGTTAATACTGGTAAAAATTATTGGAGTACTGCCTACTCCAATAATTATTTCACTTAACCTGAAATTAACCATTGGTCAGATTTTTCACATTTAGTTTTAGGCATTCTGAATCTGTTGTTTTATTAGAATACTTCCACTGACTTTAGTATATTGATTTTTCTGCATTTTTCCTATGGGAAATGCAGTTGGAATTCTAGCAGTTTGAAATATTAGGAAATTAAACTTAGAGGATAAAACAGGGCAGTTCTCCAATTTGAATGTTTTATATATTCATAACCTCAATATAATTCCTAGATTGGGAATTTTAGCTGTGCATCACTAAAGACTGCTCTCTCATTTAATACTTTTTAATAAGGTAGAACACACTTAGAACCTCTTTCTTTTCAAGTAGTCATTAAGTCAACATTTATTCAAAACAGACTGTCAATTTACAGTGAATAATGTTTTATTAGTATTCAAAGAAGTGCTGAGTTGGGAAGCACCAATCTAGCTGACTCTTAGCAAGTTGATACCGTACCTACAACTGACATAGTAATTGTGGCAGATCAAGCAGTTACTTCTCTTAAAGATGCTAAGATGATAAAGGAATTAACTATGGTGGTAAACTTTTATATGTTTATTTAATATTTAAAGGCACATTTAAAGATCATGTGAATTTCAGATTCATGAAATAAAAGGGCTAGATAATGGGAGGCGTGAAAAATCAAATGTGTGGGTAAAGATACTAAACTTGGCCGAAACCGGTTTGGCTCAGTGGATAGAGCGTCGGCCTGCGGACTGAAAGGTCCCAGGTTCAATTCCGGTCAAGGGCATGTACCTGGGTTGCGGGCACATCCCCAGTGGGGAGTGTGCAGGAGGCAGCTGATCGATGTTTCTCTCTCATCGATGTTTCTGACTCTATCTCTCTCCCTTCCTCTCTGTAAAAAATCAATAAAATATATTTAAAAAAAAAAAGATACTAAACTTGTTAAAATGAATATAAGTCAGTGAACAATGATATGACATTTTGTATAAAATAGATTACCAATTTTTTTCATTTTTGAGGCATATTCTGAACTTATAATTAAAGTTTATAATTCTATAAACAAGCATTTATTTTAAGCATGCCTTTTAAATAGTATGCAGTATTTGATTTATATAAAGGTCATTATGAACTCCTAAAACTTACCTTATTTTGATTGCAGATATTATAGAACAACCAGCACTGGTTCAAGCCAATAGTAACAGAAGATCTGTCAGTACTCTCAAGCCTTGTGCTAAAGATGCATATATGCTTTTCCAGGTATTTCAGTTAATAAAAATAATTTTTATTATCATATATAGTTTTGAATTTTATGTGATTTATTTTTTTAAGTGTCCATTTTTAAGATTGTCAAATTTTATAGTGTTTCAAAAAAGTTCTAAAACATTAAGAAGCTAATTAATATGATAAAATGTTATGTTTTAAGGAAATAAAATGAGTTAAATGCACAACTATAAAAGAGGCAACTTAAGGATTACTAGTCATATAAAATAATTTCTTTTAACAGGAAAATTTAAATAATAATTGGTATACTTACTATAATTTGTATAAAAATACCTGATTTTTACATTATTTGTTGTGACTAAATCTTTTAAGTAAAATACAATTTATTTGTACTGAAAATTTTATTAAGTTTGTGATCAAATGGTTATTTTAGGTGGATTTTCGTTAAAAGAACGTTAGATTAATAATTTATCTGTGTACTCTGTATAGTGTTGATAGTTATGATTCATTAATCTGTGTACTCTATATAGTCGATAGTTGTATGACTCATTTATCTGTGTATTTTATTGTCAATAGTTATATGATTCTTTAAAAGTTTACCTATATAATCGTATACAATTTGTCAAAATTTGAATTACCAATGTTTGGTTTCTAAGGAGTGAAAACAACTACAGTATAAGAAGAAATTCTTAAAAATTTTATGAACATTGAGTTTTGAAAAAAAAACCACACCTTTTATTCCAGCATATGAATGTTTTATTTATTTTTTATTTATTGTTTGACTTATTTTTCTAGGATCTTTGTCAATTGGTTAATGCTGATGCTCCTTACTGGCTAGTAGGCATGACAGAAATGACTCGAACATTTGGCCTTGAATTACTTGAGTCAGTCCTGAATGATTTTCCACAAGTCTTTTTACAAGTAAGCCATTTGTAGTATCTTGCAACAAAATTATTCTTAAAATTTTTACAGATATTTTTCAAGAAAGCACCATGTATTTTTTCCCACATTAAAAGATGTGAAGAATTACAGCCTTAGACTTTAGACTTATAATAATTTAATGTTATCTTACATTGTTGAAGTGCCCTAGCATCTTGAAATTTTAACATTAGAAGGAATCCCAGGATACTGTCTATTCAGGCATTTCTCAGTCAGTGAATATATGAGCGAAGGTGGTATGTGAGCTATCCTATCTAATAATAGACAAACATGGTAATTAACCGTACCTCTGACACGCTTCCCATTGGCTAATCAGGGCGATATGCAAATTAACTGCCAACCAAGATGGCGGCCGGCAGCGAGGCAGTTGAAACGAACAGGAGGCTTGCTTGCTCCAGTGATGGAGGAAGCCAAGGTTCCCCGCCTGCCGCTGCCGGCCTCTGAGCTGCACTCTAAGAAACAATGTTGCAATTATAGAATCTAAACAAACCCCAGAATCCTGCTTTCAGCCAGCCGGTCTCGGAGCTGGAGCTGCAACAGTGTTTCAATTATAGAAGCCAAACAAACCCAGATACCTGCTTTCAGCAGCCGAGGTCTCAGAGCTGGAGCCGAGCCTCAGAGCTAAAGCCGGCTCTCAGTTCCAGTGACAGCCATAGAAGGTAAATAAATCCCAGAATAAAAAAAAAGAAAAAAAGGAGAGGTTGGGAGCTTCAGTCACCCACCAGCCTGAAAACGGCCCTCAGCCCCTCACCCAGACTGGCCAGGCACCCCAGTGGGGACCCCTACCCTGAAGGGGTGTGACCAGCTGCAGACAGCCATCATCCCCTCATCCAGGCTGGCCAGGCACCCAAGCGGGACCCCCACCCTGATCCGGGACACCCTTCAGGGCAAACCAGCCGACCCCCACCCATGCACCAGGCCTCTGTCCTATATAGTAAAAGGGTAATATGCAAACTGACCCTAACAGCAGAAAGACTGGGAATGACTGGTCACTATGACACACACTGACCACCAGGGGGCAGACGCTCAATGCAGGAGCTGCCCTCTGGTGGTCAGGGCGCTCTCACATGGGAAGAGCTCTGCTTAGCCACAAGCCAGGCTGATGGCTGCCAGTACAGCGGTGGTGGTGGGAGCCTGCCTCCTCAGCAGCGCTAAGGATGTCCGACTGCAGTTTAGGCCTGCTCCCCGCTGGCAAGTGGACATCCCCCGAGGGCTGCTGGGCTGCCAGAGGGATGTCTGATTGCCATCTTAGGCCCAATCCCCCAGGGAGCGGTCCTGAGCCAGCAGGTGGTCATCCCTGAGGGGTCCCAGACTGAGAGAGGGCACAGGCTGGGCTGAGGGACCCCTCCCTCCCCCCCGAGTGCACAAATTTTTGTGCACCAGGCCTCTAATATTTATAATATTTAAAATAGAAAGAAATTGTTATAGATTTTTATTTGTTTATATGTAGCTGTATGCTTTTAGATAATTTTAAAAAAATACACACACAAGGATATGTTTTTATTGATTTCAGAAAGGAAGGGAGACAGAGACAGAGAGAGGAAGGAAGGAAGGGAGGGAGGAAGCAAGAGAGGGGAAAGAAAGGAGAGCAAGGGAGGGGGAAGGAAGGGAGGAAGGAAGGGAAGGAGGGAGGGAGGGAGAGAGGGAGGGAGGGAGGGAGGGAACAGCAAGAATCGCAGCCTGGCTAAAAAGTAATGGTAAAGGGAAGAGTGAAAAGAGGTAAGGTAAAGGAATACTGGGGACTAGATCATGAAAAGTTCCATAGACCATAATTAGGACTTCCTCTTTTATTCTGGGCAAAAAGGACATCTACAGGAACACTTTTACAAAAGACCCAAGTGGACTCCTGCTTCAGGCCTCTGTAACTTACTGTTTTCTGGGTCTGGAATGCTTTTCTCTCAAATGGCTTGTCTCTTACTCTTTTGAGGTCTTTGCTCAATGGTCAACTTTTCAGACAAACCTTCCCCAACACTTTATATAAAATGGCAACTTTTCATGCTAATACCCTTATCTTATTACCTCCTGACATATATGTATTTGTATATTAGTTTATTTTCTATCTTTTCTTATAGGAGAGTAAGCTCTATGAGGCAGGGACTTAGTTCACTGTTGAGTCTATAATAGTGCCTGGCATATGGCAGGTGTTTGATAAACGTGTGAATGAATGAATGAATTGGTACATGAATTTAATTAGAAATTTCTGTACTTTGGATTGTGTTTTCTGATTTTGTAGGAAAATATTTGAAAAAATGTTTCTAATTTCAGATTTATTGTGTATACAAATGACTTATTCTACTTTATTCTTCCTGCTATAATGCAGAGGGGGAAAAAAAGAATTATTCTTTGTAACATACTAGAATTTGCTCCTGTAAAGTTTTCATTAAGAGTTAAATATCTGTTTTCTTTCACTAATTATTTACCTAATTTAACCAAAATTACCAGTCATTTAGAATGTGCTGGTCTATGTGTTTTGTGCAAAGGATGCAGATGTGAAATGAGACAGATAGAATTCTGGCCCTGTGGCACTTACAAGTCTAATTTGGAGAAAAATATTAACTGAATAATGGATTTGATGAATGCTGTGAAGGAAAAGTGTAAAAAGTGTGTGGGAGTGAATAACATAGGCACCAAACTGGTGGAGAGTTGGTGATGAATCAAACACATGAAGCTTTTACCTGAAGGGGGGAAAGTAGTGAGTTGGGAGAAACAGGCAGAATAGGAAAGGGATACTCCAGAGCAGTGAGCCTGAAAAAGGATCTGTGTCTAGAAAATAAGCTCTATAAGGGCGGACAAAATTGAACTTAACCCTGAACCCCTTTCCCTACCATAGTTCCTGGCACATATTAAGCAGTAAGCCAGTAATTGCTAAATAAATCAATGAAATGATGTAGGTAAGGGAAAAGGCTTGAACAGTGAACTGCTTGCTAAGATGGAATATACTCTATGGTAAACTTTTTATTACAAAGGATAAATTATTCAGTTTTAAACACACTCAAGTACCTCAAAATGAGATACTGCAAAATATTAGTTGAATTTATGCATTTTGAGCTTGGAAGTAAGGTTTTGGGCTGAGGTTATAAATGTAAACATCACTGGCTTGTAATTGTTAATTACATTGAGGTTATAAATGTAAACATCACTGGCTTGTAATTGGGAGTGAAAAAGATCACCTCTGGTGATAGCACAGACGAGAAAGCCAGGTCCTGGTACTCTGGAGCTCTGAGGAATCTCAACATTAAATGGTTAAGCATAAAAGGGTAAGAATATAAAAGAGGCCAGAAAGGCAGGAGTGCATGTGATACAGTGAGACATACAGAAGACAAAAGCAAATGTGATACAGTGAGACATATAAAAGACAAAAGCAAAGAAAGCTTCAAGATGAACCAAGTAATCAGTTAAGTCAAGTGCTTCAGAAAGATATGGTAAGATGAAGACTGAAAAGGCAGTGTTCGCTTTGTCCACAGAGATCATGATGAATATAATATTACTTTCTGTAGAGTTGGGGTATTTCATGGTGATTTCGGAAGAAACGCAGTTGTAATCAGTTGAGTAGTGAGGGGGGAAATAAATAGATAAAACTTAAGTCTTGTCTGTTATAGTCATAAATTAACTAATATAGAAAATTATTTAGTAAAGTATGACAATAACCTTAATTATGTCTTTAATTTTGTCAGTCAAAGAAACTAACTGTAGACATGAGAGTAGACTTTCAAATCGCTAAACTGTTAAGATCCCATTTTGGGAGGGAAGAAAATGGAACTGCCATTTGACCCAGTGATCCCACTTCTAGGAATATATCCTAAGAATCCCAAAGCACCCACCAGAAAGAATATATGTACCCTTATATTCATAGCAGTGTTATTTACAATAGCTAAGATCTGGAAACATCCCAAGGGCCCATGAGTAAATGAGTGGATAACAAAGTTATGGTACATATACACCATGGAATACTATGCAGCAATAAAAAGGAAAGATCTCTTAACCTTGAGACAGCATGGAGGGACCTGGAGACTATTATGCTAAGCAAAATAAGTCAGTCAGAGAAAGACAAGTGTCACATGATCTCACTCATATGTTGAATCTAATGAACAAAGTAAACTGATGAACAAAATAGATCCAGAGACAGAAGCATAGAACAGACTGTGGAATCTCAGAGGTAAGGCAGGGGAGGGTGTGTGTGGGAAGAGATCAACCAAGGAACTTGTTTGCATTGATGCATAACCAATGGACACAGACAATAGGGTGATGAAAGCCTGGGGCAAGGGGCCGGAGTGGGCTAGATGGGGTGAATGGGGGGCGGTGGGGAAAGGGAGCATATGTAATACTTTTAACAATAAAGATTTTTTTTTTTAAGAAAGATCTATGACCCTTTGAGATAATATGGAGTGACCTGGAGATTATTATGCTAAGTGAAAGAAGCCAATCAGCAAAATACAAATATCACATAATCTCACTTATATGTGGAATCTAATGAACAAAATAAACTGATGAATAAAATAGAACCAGAGGCATGGAAACATGGAAGACTGAGAAATCTTGGAGGGAAGAGGGGGGTGGGGCAGGAAGAGATTAACCAAAGAACTTATATGCATATGTGCATTGCCCCTGGACACAGACAATAGGGTGGTGAAGGCCTGGGACAGAGTGGGAACCTAGGGGAGAGGGATAGTGAGGGAAAAATAGGGGAACATCTGTAATACTCTCAATAAAGTTTTTAAAAGTACATTGAAATGAATATAAAAATTTGGAAGGAATTAATTTGGAACTAACAATGACTAACTTATCTCTAGGAGTTGAGATTATAAGAGGCTTTTAAAAATATGTTTTTTATTGATTTTAGAGAGAGGAAGGGAGAGGGAGAGATAGAAACATCGATGAGAGAGAAACATTGACATTATTTGGTTGCCTCTTGCACTCCCCCTACTGGGGATCAAGCCAGCAACGAGGACATATGCCCTGACCAGGAATCGAACCGGTGATCTCTTGGTGTATGAGTTGATACTCAACCACTGTGCCATACCAGTTGAGCATTTATTTTTATCTTTTTATCTGTATTTTTCTAATGAATCTGATATTTCCCTCTAATTGTTTTTCTTGAATGAATCTGAGTTTTAAAAATACATTTTAAAAAATTTGTGATTCTGAATTACACTGTGCCTTATTATTTCTTTCTTTTTTTTTTTTTTTTTTTTGGTAAGATTAAAGGGTTAGAGGATGAAATTTATGTTTGTGTCATTATTCTTAGCCTAAATGATATTTGAATGATTAAAACAACAAAATAATGTATATTTGAGGTTAGATATTAAATGTTGACTGGGCCTTACATTTTCAGTAAAATGGGACTAGTTTCACAAGGAATTAACAGATATGGGGATGTTTTCTGCATAATATACTATGACTGTAAGTAAATTTAAGAATTCTTTGCAAGATTTTCTAGATTTAAAAAAATGCTTATTTATCATTGTATTTTTTCATCAGCTTGTGTTTTGTTTAAACAATCTACGTATAACAGAATATTATGTTTATTAATACATCTGCACATGAGTGGAATTATCTTTACACAAAAGAATCAATAAATTGTGTAACTTACTATACTATCTTTATTAATCAAGGTTTCTCTCCTCAGCTGCCTATTTTAAATACTTTATCCATTTGAATTTGTGCAATCTATTTTCTTTCTTCTGTTCTTTATATTTAGAGTCTTTTAAAAAAACTTACTGACATATTATCATTTTGATCTCACATTGTCAGAGAGCAGTGCTAATTTCAGAATTGTTTATAAACAAAATAATAAACTACATAAACTTATAATAAAGCTAATTTATTCATAGAAATTATTAAGAACTTTATTTACTAGTGAGGCTGTTTAGTACAAACTAAGTTAATTGCTTTTCTTTTCTTTTCCTTTATTTTTTTGCAACTAGCACCAGGAATTTAGTTTCCTCCTAAAAGAAAGAGTATGTCCTCTTGTGATAAAGCTCTTTTCTCCAAATATAAAAGTTCAAGACAAGGTTCCAATACTTTCATCTTTCTCCAGCACCCAGTTGAAAAACCCGTATTTTTCCTATCTGGCATGCGTTTGCTGAAGAGTTGTATCTGGTCCTGATTAGACAATTTTTACAGTCTTTTTGGTAAGTACTAATTTTTCATATATTTTTTGTGCGTTAATATTAGGCATGGCTCCTTAATATGATTTTTAAAATATATGGTTATTTGATTTTAAAAATGGATGACATAGGTATATATGAAAATATT